CTACAGTGTATATGATGGAAAATGGCTCTCATGCAACATCCGCTTTCACATCAACAGATAACAAAGGGCATTGCGTTGTACTGTACCAAAACAGCGATGTCTAATAAGAACCGGTTGTACTGTTTGAATGCAACATCAACTACAACTGTCATTAGAGGGTTATGTAGGATTCTATTGGCAACGTCCCGCTTTGAGAATGCCACTTCCTTGGCTGTCATGTTGATGCTTGGCTTCAACATTTGGGCCAAAATAACTATGGAGTTAAGAAATTCCATCACCGATCTGACTATTTTTATTGTTATAATACAAGATTTATATAGCGCCAACAGTTTGCACAGCGCTTTACAATATAAGGAGGATGTTACAGTTACAATACAAGTCAAGACAAAAGGACCCTGCCCTTGAGAGCTTATAATTATTGGCACTATGCTTGTTCTGCATCCTGGGACTCAAAAGCTTTGAAGCCAGACAAAGCCAAGCAACCAGCTTTTTCAGAAAAAAGGAATGGCAGCTCCTAGGTGTCTCTACTTTTTCTTTTAATTATGGATAAAGTAGGAAAGGGATTAAAACCGCTATCAGGTTATTTTTTGCTGTCTGTTTCCTACTGGGGAAGGTTTCTCCATTTCTTGTCTGGGAGATGCAGCAGGAAGGGAGTTAATCGTCACAAAGTACAATGAATTTACATCTGAGACAGTTGTCACCAAAATGCAGAATGGAAGAATTTCCTCCATTTCAAGCCTACGAAAATTCTAAAATTTAGGATTTCCTCTTAATTTGTGTCTCGGTGACAATGGGAACCTGGACAAATAGAGAGGGTAAATCTCCCCAGCAGGGACTCACACATCATTAAAAACTTGACAAGGGGTCCAACCCTTAGGTCTATCCAAAACCAAAATAAAGTTTTTCCTATACGTACGCTATAATATTTTTTTTACAGTTTGAACTGGAGTATACCGATAAAAAAAAGCTGTGCTGTTATTTTTATGATTACTATTCCGTGTTCTTGTTACGTGTTCTAAATCATGCCAGTGACAAGTTGCTAACAGCACAAATGCTAATATTTTTAAAATCTCTGCATCACTTTTTCATGTACAGCTTGTGATAATTACATATAGGTTTAGCTGTCTGAAAATCTAGATGTTAGTCTGCAGAAGATTTGCTGACTTCTGTGACTGTCTTCTGAACGGGTTTGGATTTGACTTGTGAATTGTGATGGCATCATTGGAGTGCCCCAGGCAGCCCCAGCAGACATGATGCAGATTTGATGTTCTGTTAAGCCTGCAAACCTGAATAGAAAAAAAATAGAGAGCTGTTAAACTGATCTAAATTTTGAAACGTTGCTGGAGACTGTTAGTGACTGAGAGCTTCCTCGTTATAGAGGATCATTGTATATCACACTGTCAGGAATGACAGGGATATAAAAGGGCTATGAGTGTTCACAAGCTATACATCACATTGTATGGACCTTATTATCTTTAGACATTAGTTGTGTTTGTCAAGGTTACAAATATGTGCTTTGCCTCCATTCTACTGGCTGCTAAAATATACACCCATGCTCTCCAGTAACTAAAGGCACATTAATGGCAGACATTGGGAATTTATGTAGACCTAGGACATTATCTATAAATCTAACAATGATTCCTAAAGTGCCAATAGTGGCTTTTAGCTGCTACTAATGCAGGATGAGTTTTTATCATTTGCAGCTACTGCTTTTGGTAATTTTTTTAGGCAATTATATGTTTTTGGATTGCGAATATCTGCAGTTAGTGACATTAAAATCATTTTTTTTGCATATATCTACTGCTAGCAAACAGTAGAAGTATGCAAAACATTTAAAAAAATAAAAGTTACCAAACAGGGAAAAACGTACCTCTTTCTCTGTTGCTCGCTCCAGGCTGTAAAATCCAGTTTCTTGAGCGGCCATGCAGGAGGATGAGTGCGGCGCATGCACAGCAGAGATCATCGGGGAGAAGAGGAGAGACTCGCTGTAAGTAAATGCACGCAGCCATGAGCGTGCACGCCAGACAGACAACGTGGTACAGAAAGGGAGAGCAGTCTGTGCTGGATCAGAGACCGGCACCAGTGCTGGAGGGACTGCTGAAAACTACTGGAAAGAAGATGATCAGATCAAGAGGCATCACTTTAGCGAAGTCCTTAAAGCAGCATGGGGGGGTAACTTTAATGCCACTTTAACTGCAGCCAAATCAGCAAAAATATATTGACACATGTCAAACACAAGGCCTGTCAGCCGAATCCGGCCTAGGCCTACCAGGCCATTTCCTCTCCAGCTGCTGCAGTAAGGGATAGGAGTGAGGGGCTTGTGATGTGGCCATGTTTCATGTTACACCCTAAATATGGGTGTAACACCAAATATGGTAAGAAAGGTAAACTTGGCCTTTAATCGGGGACATCCTTCCTAGTTACTACCTCAACATCCTTTTTAGCATTGCCACACGATAGAGCAAATTCCTATGTCAAAATAGGGAAAAGGCATTCAGAATCTGTCATACATATTGTGCTGTGCTGGAGGTTTTCTAACATGCATTTCAATTCAGATGCGTTACACATTGCTCCCACCTGCTGTCAATCAACAGGCATTGTTGTTGGATAACGCAAGTGCTTTTATTGCGAACTTAAACTGCCTTCTGGATTTTAGCACGGAAAATGTATGCAATTTAATACACTGGGCTTCTTGGTAAAGGCAAAATGAAGGTAAAGTACTGCCATGACATATAATTGTTCTGGCTACAACTAATAAGCATTATGAACCTGTAAATGAAGTCATGTTGCATACATGCTATCAGACAGCATATGCATGGGGCTATATTTTGTACCGATGGAGCAAGCATTATTTCAAATCACATACACTCTTTACATGTGGGTTAACATTTTTCTTTTCCAAAACAAAAGTATTTTTTATGATCGTGGTGGGGGGGTCTAAAGCTTTCCCCGTCTCCTTGTGATATATTGGTTAGTTGTGTGCTCTTTCATTACAGTTCTTTGCTATTGCATTCCGTTAGAAGTTATAGAAAATTTGTGATGTATGTGCTGGGTAGTGTTTACATCTAATCAGACAGTTTAAATGTAAAGACTCGTCATTTGACTTCCTAATTATAGACCTCGTTTAAAAGATTTGATTTGTATATAGAGTATATTGAGAGCAGCAAGTGCCAACACATTATTTCATCCTTGGTTACAATAGAGAAAGCAAGGCACTCCAGCTTAGTGGAAATGACAGCTTGATGAGGCAGATACCATTACATTTACAACATTTGTGTCATGTGCGCTATAGTAGTTAAAAGAACATATTGGTGGATGGGATATTAAACTGTTTTGCCAAGTGCTTAGAGGAGTTAGATTAACTACTTCATTACTTTTGTCAGTAGTTAATATTATTTGGAATGCTTACCTCTGCGTAGGTACCTAAATAATCTAAACAAGGGTTCACATATGTATATGTAATATTTATATATACCTTATCTACATGGGTACACTGAATGTACTTTCTTTAAATCACAAAGTATATAATGTATGTAGAATGTTTATTTGCATACATATTTGATACTTGAAATGCTAACTTTTTTTTCTTTTTAGTTTTTTTTGGTAGAGAGTGGTGAAGGTAGGGTGTGTAGGCATTGTCACTTCTGACCCAAGTTAATGAAAAATTATGTAGTAGGCCTCAAGGGACAGCATGTGTCAAGGTTCTTTATGGTTACTCCATTGCCTAGTGACTGGTCATTTTGGAAGCTGTGCCAAGATGTGCAATCTGCATCCCTTACAGAGTGCAACTGCCTATAGTCTCAAAAGATCATGTAATTTCAAGGTAGTCATATTACTGGGGTCAGGTAGCCTGGTCAGTCCTGCCTTGAAATTACTAATCCTAGGAATATGATCAAGCTCGCTAACATTTCTCAGAAGGTCTCTTTCCCTAGCTGCTTGTTAAAATTTGCTACTGGGACATAGCCCTGGTATCACATCTTCCAACATCAAACATGATCTTCATAGCACTGACATATTCACATCAGAGCTCTGCCTTTTAAAATAAATTGATTTTTATCAATTCACTTTGTTGTGGCTGCCCATGTACACAGTTTTTTTGTAAATTATACTAATCCAATATAAATTGCAGTGGTCAAGAAGTGCTCCATATCCCCTGCAGATGTATTCCATTATGTTGGAAAGCTTTTCAGATTGAAGACAGCTCCATTTTCTTCATGGTGAATGGAATAGTCCTTTCATCATGCAAACATCAAGTCAAACTCAAGATAGAAGGGTATTGCAGTGGTATAGCTCTCTTAAGCAATGCTTTATGCATTACCTTATGATAATTTTAGACGATCAGAATTTGTTCTATAGTTATTGCAATCTTAATCCACAAGCTATAATCGTCATTCATTAAAAAGCCGTGACATGATATCTGTCAGACTTGCTATGGTGTTGAAGAACAAGAAAGAGACAATGATTCTGCATGCATTGCCATGCAAATTTTTTTTATTGTGTAGGGTTAAATGCTGGATTAAAGAAGTCTGCTGCTTAAACATATGCTTTTGTTGCCAATTACTGGGTCTTCTATAGCCATCAAGCCCCAAAAAAGTCAGCTCCTGTATTTATAATGGATAGAAAAAAACATTTCAGATACACAAGTATATAAAGTGGCTTATCAGAGCTTACGATATCTGAGATAAGGTCTTCCCATAGGGGTTGGATATTTTTACTATCCATGGTTGACTTCCTGTTTATTAATCCTGTTAATGGGTGCTTCAGGGAGCTCTTTTGGTCTGGCATTCATCTATAAATAATAGTACTGTACAAAGCCAAGTGTCAATTTGATATGATGGAATTTCAAGATGCATATTTTAAACAAAATGTTTCAAGAAGCCTTTTTCACTTTGGAGTTAGCAATATAATGTATTGTAATGTAATGTACCATATAATAGCTTTCCTTGGCTAGGTGATTGTTTGCTGTAGTAACTAATGTTTTTCTTGTTTTATTCTTTCAGATGAAGGTCTTAATCATGAGTGTAAACTCTGCAGCCAGTCATTTGACTCCCCAGCAAAACTGCAGTGCCATTTAATTGAGCACAGCTTTGAAGGAATGGGAGGCACATTTAAATGTCCAGTCTGTTTTACAGGTAAATATGCTTAAAAATACCATTGTTACCAAGTATCTGGATCAAAAACAGTTGACATTTCTTTTTTAGTGCAAAGGAATGTATTTTACTTGTCTGTCTTATGAGATGAAAGAAAAATGGTGTACAAAAAGTTGTGTATATGGATAGAACACCTGAATAGTAAAAATAACATGATTTCTTGACATATCTCCAGCTGTTTGTGAGTTCGGGTATACATGCACACTTACATATGCAAGCATTGCAGGTCTCAAAAATCTCACTGCTAGGGTTGCATCTCCGATCCCCTCTCCTCCTGCCCATTCACAAAACACACAGCCCCAGACTCTGTTTTGTGAATGGGCAGGAGGAGAGGGGGCAGAGATTTAGTGTGATCTGCATTGCTTCTATCCCAGTGGGCATGACAATAAAGTGTGAACTGTATTTCCATCTGCATGTAGTAGAACAGATTTGACCGCTCTAGAGTAAAGCCAGTAGGATGGGAGGTTTGTTTTATGTAAGTGGAATTTATATCTGCTCTGATACTGTTGAGGTTTTTTTGTGTGCCCAGAGTTGGGTTTTATCTAGAATATATGCCTCCAAAGACACATGATCTACTGTTTCTACCACAAACATACATAGGGTTGTGCACATATACAGAAGTGCCAATCTGAATGAAAGCCAGTGACCCTACTGGTATGTTTTTGGGTTGTGAAAGGAAGCCAGGGGAAAATATGGATGCAGATAAGGGTTAGTGCTAACCCCTGTGCTACCCAGTGTATATATTATTTTTGATCTTCTAGTGGGACCCCTGATTTACTGGTGGGCCTTCCATGGTCCATACGGAGGCTGATTCAGACCAACAATTACATTTATCTAGTCAACCAGTGTAGTATTTAATTTAACCAAGAGAGTTGAATGAACTGGGTTATTAAGTGTGTAAGATTGATTGTTTGTTTTGTATCTTTTTCTTTATGCATCTGCAGCATCAGATTATAACATATACCTAGTGATCACCCAAAAAATATAGCCATTTGACAATTTGATTATGCTGTTGCATGATCAAAACATTGCAATAAATACTATGTATGGATGTACACCTATGCCATTTTTGCTGTTGCTGATTGATTAAATTACACCGAATCTGCTATTTTGATGTCCATTTATCTGTTTTTACCCTGTTCATGAGTATAATGACATGCATAAATGAAATATAAATCACTTTCCTAGATTCACTGTCGGTACAAATGTTTACATTGTTGTGAAGTTAACTTAAATGCAGTGACTTTAATCACGAAGAATATCCCAAAGAAAGAATAATGCATATTACCATGTCTGGATCTATTACTTTTCATTTTTTTTCTAACAATGTGGTGATAACAGTCACCCTTTATTAATTTATTAGTGCTCACGTAAGTGTAATTCAGCAGAAAGCGGCGTCAGACAGTGACATCTAGTGTTCAGCTTTGTGTCAACAGCTATTTTTCTTTAATACAAAAAGAAACAACAGGAAAAAGAGAACTGTAGATTTCATTATCAGGCTATGAAGGAGAAAAGCATTGGATGAGCCTACTGCAGAGCCTATTTCCACCAAAGTTAATTTCTTTCTATTTTTCCGCCTAAAAAAATCCCATTGTAAACCCAACAGGTGGACGGCTGCATGTCCTGCAGTAATAAAGGCAATCTGCTCTGTGTGAAGATGCTCTCAAAAGAATCATGCAGCTATCTCCAGTGACTACTACACACCCTCCTGAATTTCTTCCTACTGCATAGCAGTAATGCCTTCAATCCAATATGTCAATTCTTTAATGCTGCAGAGGGCTAGAAATCCTTTGGTGAAATTGATTTTTCTATTGACAGCACTCGTAATTCTCTAATAAGCTACTGAGGGGCTTATTGTCAAGCTTCCAGTAGAGCTGAAACACATATTGGCTATAACATGCTATGTACGCATAACTTGCTTGATTTTGCAATTTTCTTTTTCAGACTAGCGGTTATTAATTTGACACCTGATAAATGAGACAGTTTTGTGTTCTTCTGTAATGTTACGAAACTGAAAAATCCACTGCCACATTTTAGCGGTTTACACAGACTGTTATGTTTGGGCTAATCTCGTCTGCTTCTGAATTACATTTCTCGTCACCTTCAGTTCTATGATGTTTACGATACTTTACTTTGTCATTTGAACTATGTCTGCTAAAAGACTGCTTTATCTCTGTGCTGAAAAAATATTAGAGTACATTTCACCATTCACGTATATCCATTCTTCACTGGAGCTCACAGTATCACGTGTGCATCACAGCCAAACAAGTACCCACATTCACCAAAAATGCTAGGGTCAATTTAGGCAGAAGCCAAATTATCTAAAAAGATGGTGGAGGAGTGTGAGGACAAACTGTAACAGCAAACACTACCCATGTAGCCAGGTTTAAATTAAGTGGGGTCTTGCTGGGATTGGAACTGAAGACCTCAAAGTGACAATTGAGGGCTGTGGAAAGAATGTGGGAGGGGTGCAGGAGGCGAATTGCCACCTCCATTCTTCCCATAATTCACAAGTCGGTAACAAGATGGTCAGATTAAAATCTCTTGTCTGTGTTTAAGCAGCCATGCTTAGGCTGTTTTATGACACATTAAAATAAAGGAGAGAGGTTAGATGAAATGCAGAGATATCATAAACAGTCACGAGCCAGGGTCTTCAGAGGATTGTCATAAATGGTCGAGTCTTAAGCAGTCTGGTATGCTGTTTAAATAATACTGATTGGAATAGGGACCTAAAACTGAACTCCACAAAGTTATGCTCCATTCATATTCCATAACATAACTAAAATAAGGGTGTTGCATTGCCAAAAAGTGGTCATATTAATGTAGAAGATACCACTCGGTTGGACATCAAACACAACTATATTACAAGATGCAGAAGGCTAGTAAGACCTCCTAGGAGAAATATACAGAAATATATCATGTTTAGTATCTAACAATTAATTTTATCCTGCCAAATAGTATACTGGTTTGTGATTGGATTGTGGAAACTTAAAATTTGAAAAAATAGATACGCCCAGGAGAGTCGGGTGAGTCCTTTTGGCACGATAAAACACTCCAGCACACCTACTACACATTTCTCATACCCTTTGGTTGGGTGGAGCTAGTTCTTCAACACCTTCTCCAGGGTCAAGAAAAAGCTGTTACATAAGAAGCTGTGAGCTCTCATTTTATCTTTGGAACTATTAAAGATTACTGAGAGGCATGTTAAGAGGGCCACTGACTTCTTTAACATCACATTGGACTTAATCTTGAACTGATCCAAACTCTGCAGTGTACCAAAGCCAGACGGACTTCACTTAAGTATTTTTTCAATTTTCATTACTTTTATTCTACTGTTGGTAATGTCTGTTTAGTAGTATATTTTCTGGAGATATTTTTTTGCTGAGTCTCTGACTGCTCTAACTAGAGACTAAGAACTCCGCACCTTGAAGAAGCTGGCATGATGTAAACTGCGCTTGGCAGGGAATGGTAAAGACATTTTTTTTTTTACAGAAGTCAGAATTGCAACAGCAAATACTATGGAAGTTTCATGTTTCTGTTAATGCACGTAGTGGTGGCTAGGGTTTGTGTGGGAAGGGTTAACTGCTCAGTTTACCTGCCCCAGTGACGGTCGCTTTCAGGGAACTAGGGGGTGAGCCTTACAATGAGGAGGAGGTGAAATCGCTACTGGAGGCAGCATTTCCCATTGGCTAAATGAAACTGATTTAGTCATTATACATAATGAAAAAGCGATCTGTGCTAAGAAAATAAAACTCTAAGTGAGCTGTTATATCACTCTTCTACACATAGTGGTTCTATTACCCCCAAAAAGCATGGACTATTACTCCTATGCTCTTAACCACCTAATTATTTATTCTTTTTGGGGGCCCTTTTCCTTAACTTTGTGTTTGTATTATCCATCAGTGCTAGGACCCTAAGATAACATAGGGAAGGATTAAAATCTCTGTTGGGTATTTAATGCTGTGTGTTTCCCCACTGGCCGGATTTACACTTTATTTCTCCAGATAATTGTCACCAGAACTAAAAGTAAGGCAAATCAAAATTGTAATGTCACTGTAACAAGAATAGAGAGGTTTGCCCTTAGTTTGCAGTGATTTTTCTTTCACTTCCTCTTGTATCTATGCAACAGAAAGTGAAGGTAATGTTGCCCATGGGGATACAGATGTAAAAAAACTGATTTCCAATTTACTCCCAAATGGGAAAAAGATCACTTTAAAATAACTAAACTGGGTGTTTATATTAAAGTTGTAACTGTTTAAGAAGAATGGACATACCTCTCCTTCTGGCCATGCCACTAAACACAGCTCTGACCACCCCTGGGTGGTCACAGGTTCAAGGAGCTAGTGGGATAATTAAGTATCATTCTTCAGGACCAATTTGTGGACCATATTTCACTCTGTGATGTAACGGCCAGCAAATATGTTTAGATTCTCTTAATGCGGTCAAAATTGCTTAACCAGGATAGATGACTGAGAACCACATTAGCATGTGTATGTGGCTCATGTGTAATTGCTTTTATTTTAACCTGTTTGATCTGGTCCGTCTGAGTTGGTATCCATATTGGAATAAAGCCATATGGGAATAAAGCAGCCATTGCTTGCATAACACAGACTGCTGAGGCATTTAAGCACCTTCTGTAAAGACAATTTCCAGCATTTTAGCTTATTGAATACCTATTTTATTTAATAAATACGGGTTTGGAAATGCAGAATGAGAGCTTACACCCAGCTTATGTTAACATGTGATGAGTAGTTGGCCTTGATTGATTATCGCATCACAGTTTGATTTCCTGTTTACACCTGTCAGCAGCAATGCATCTGCTTTAAAATACTGACAGAATGCATTTAGCTCAAATGCTGTTGCTGTTTGTTAGCAAAGGAAACTGGCATTTATAGAAGTAGGTCATCCTCAGTATTTTTCCCAGTATAGGTTTTCTGTACCGTCTGGTCAGAAATAATTAATTTCTATGTGCCCACTTGATGCATTAACAGAGGTACAAATTAACTGCGATCTGGGAACATAGAATGTGACTAAAATATCACTTTTAATGAATCTCTTAAATTCTAGCAATTGTGCACATGAATATATAAAAATGTGCTGAGGACTCGGAGTAGACCAGAAAAAATTCAAAGAAACCTTGCATAATCCAGCAATCATCTATGAAAAAGCATAACTCCAGGTGGACTATGGTACTATTGAAACTGGATCCCCTTCAACATTAGGTGTGGACCCAGTAGAAGTATTTTTTAAACTGTGATAAAGAGTTCACAATGCCAACTTATCCAGCTCTCTAATCTCTAGATATCTCTAGTAAGTGATGCAAACTTGTATGTAGAATTCTCCACAGAGATAACACGCACAGTTCCACAATCACTGAGTAGGCATGTAATAACGAGATCCAAAAAAAAAAAAAGGTTGTAACTGGCTGGTCAAACCTATTGTATGATAATGATGCAGAGGGACAGCTTACTACTAAGACTACAGTTAGTTGGATCTATCCCGGATCTCTGTTTTCGCCATTTTTTTTTCTTTCTTCTATTACCCTGTTTTGGAAGAATCTACTTGGCTGTGTGGATTCCCCAATAAATAGGTTAGTAATGCTGTAGGTATAGTGAAACACAGGAAGTTTAAATGACTGATGCATACATACACAGGTACTGACATCTTGGATGTCCATGCGCTAGTAAAACTCAGTCACAAGGTGTTGGTGCTGAAGGAAGCTGCTGCAGGATTCCATTGGGTGCTTAATAGGAAGCAATCCAAACTTGGACTTTGCATGCAATCTCTACAATCACTAAATAGGCATGTAGCAATGAGATCCAAGTAGGGTAAACCTGCCTAATCAAACACATTACATGCTAGTGATGCAGAGAAACAGCTTGACTGTGTCCCTTCCTCAATTAGCAAGTAATAAGCAGGTAATTAGATGCTAAAGATATGAGAAAAGCAACAGTGTGTTAAAAAATATAAATGTTTTCATATGCAGGTGCTGGTAATACTCATGTCACAGAAAGTCATTGCTGAGGGGCCCATTCACACCACATCCAGATCATCTCCAGAGCAGATTGTTTCCGGACCCAAAATGCATCCTAATGTATGCCTATGCTATTTCTGACCTCTGTTCACACCAGCGCAGTCTGTACCAGACCAGAAAAATACTGAATGTCTAATTTTGTCTGTTCTGGAATGCACTGGAACGCATGGAAACTCAACAAATGCATAAAAGCACTGGAACGCACCTAAAAAACAATTTTAAACAAAAAAAACTTGAACGCAGCAAAATGCAATGCACTGAGTTCTAGATCTGGCCGTGTGTTGTGAACCTGCCCTATAGCAAAGTATAAACACACTCCGATATAGATTGTGCAGCTGCCATGAGTATAAGTTTGTTATGCTGGAACCATCATTATTCCAAGGGTGGCATTTCCAGTTGCTGCAATAACTCCTTGGAGCTTAAATAGTTTAATCACTGTGGGTTTCATTCATTTAATGAAAGGTGACAAATTTCTTTTGGCTTATACCATACACAGTTTGAGTTATTAATTAGCCTTAGTTTTAAAGGAGTCCTTCTCAAATGTTTTCACTTATAGATGTTCTTTGGTTAGCTGAAGTCCCCCCCCCACCCCGGTGTCTACTTTTAGAAGAGATATCTGCTAGGGTTCATTGTCATGGCGCACCAAACTTCATTCTATTGTTAGAGGAGTTGTGGTTGTACCTATTATGTCACTTGCAGGGATGTGACCTTAAATCACTTCTAATGTTACATTGGTCTAGAATGAATTAGTCCACCACTGGCTACCAAAATGTTTTAGGCAGACTAACCATTCAATGTTGCACATTTTTTGAACTGTGTTTAGGAGCACTTTTGTACAGAACTATCTCTGTTTACCCCTTTCATAACTGGAATCTGTATAGAATCCCAGGTTACTAAAAAAAAAAAACTTTGATGTAGCTGTAATGGAGCATTTCAGTGTGTCCAGTTTAAGGTTAGTAAACAATAAGAAAAATCTAGTTTTGAGCTAATTAAATAATGTTTTCAAATGAGTTCAGTAGTCTTGACCTAATGAGAAAATGTGATTAAAATGTATGAGTCACCATGCAATATCCTAATTTTTTTCAGTGAGCTTGAAATGAGAATAATTGTAATGATATGACTGGAGACAGAGTCAAATGGCAGCATTCATAATCAATCTCACTCTGCCTATGCCGATAAATATTCTACATGCAAACTTTTTTTTAGGTCACAGTGCACCAAGCATCTATCAGAAGTCAGTGCTGCCAACCCAAATGCTGCCTCTGGCATATACAATTTAATTATTAATAGCATGTCTCCCAGGTAAACTCTTACACATTCTTAGGGCCTTGTTTTGTAGTCATTAAAATTGAACATGTTTGTATTATTGAAACCCCTGCATTCTCCATGTAGGTTTAGTTGATCTGAATGTATCGAAAGAGAACCTACCAATTTCTCATTTTCCTGTCCCTGCCCTGGAGTATCTGCGGGATATGATTTTTATTTATTACAGGAAATTGTTCTTTTGTTTTGAAATGTAGCTGTTTTCTCTGCCTTGTCAAACCATTGTTTATGTGATCTCAGTTTTTTTCCCCCTCTAACTATGGTGATTGGTAAAAACACAAACTGAATAAATATAAAAAGCAGCAGTTACATAACATTATTTAAAAAACATTTGTGCATCAAATGTATAGAATCTATGCAAGTATATAATTGTTTAATTGTTAAAATAATTTAATGAAACCTTGAAAATAAAAAATGAATAGACAGTATAAGCCAATCCATGCACAGAACAACCACCCAACCAAGATACGATTCTGATGATCAGCCTTCAAAATATTTAACGATACATTATGGCATATCTATAATTGTGATCTGAACCTGTAAACAAAACTTAAAACTCCCCTGTTTTGGCAAGGATATTACCTGACCTACAATACTCTCCTCATTCACAAAACCAGTACTGCTCCCTTCCACAATCTGACAAGGCTACACTACGTATGAGCAAAAAGATTAACATAGGAGTCACCCTTCTTATGCAGAGATTGTAATATATTTATAGTAACAAAAAAAATTATTTTGTTACCCAGAAATGTCATCTTTTACTATTCTATCTATATACTGTGTCTTTGTTCAGAATCCGTATACTATATAAGAACTCCCTTTTGATCTCCTCTCAGTCCCCGAATGCAGGAAGTGATGTATATAACATCACTTCCTGCATTCAGTGTCACTCTCCAGCTACGGAAGCTGATGTAGCAGATCTCTGCTTCATCAGCTTCTCTGGGGGTACCTAGGTGACATTTGGGGTCTTGGAGACCCCTAATGTCTCCATAAAGAGGACCTGTCCTTTAAATTGGCTATCACATAGAGGGCTTCTTATCCCCCCATGTAATAGCAATAAAGTTGTGTGTAAAAAAAAAAAGTAACACAAAAATTAAAGAATCATAAAAAAATGAAAGAAGCATAAAAAGAAAACAATTTTTTTAAGTCCGCCCCCCGCATACACACGCAGATATGCGTCGGGTGCACCCACGTGCAAAAACGATGATTGCGCCTATCGTGCCGCACATGTTGCATATCGCTGCAAGCGGAATGAGAGCAATAATTTTAGAGCCATTAATCACTGATAACACTAAACTGATGAGCAGTAAAAGGTTTTAAGCGTCACCTATGGGCGTTTTTTGCGATTTTAAGGCTTGACATGTTTGGTGTCTATTTACCCGACATGTTCCCGACTTTTATGTCTTACCAAAAATATGGTTAAGAATAAATGTTAAATTTTACATTTACGGTACTTTTTTCATTATATAGTAAAAAAAATAACACACACACACACACACACACCCCCCCCACCCCCCCCCCCCCCCGCCCCGTAGTGATTTTATATACCTCCAAAAGAAAGCTCTATCTCTCCCCAAAAAATTTTAACATAAATTGCAAGGCCATAGTCCGGTCATGCTGACTGGTGACATTTTTGACTGACTGGTGAGACACCATTTAATTGGATATAAACTGTACTGTCAATGGGATCCTAATGATCAAAATGCAGCAAATAACGCTTATTACAAAGTACAGTTATTGAAACAAAAAATACCAATGGTCCTGCTTTGGAGTATTTCCTAATGCTAAGCACATATCATATTTAGACATCAGCACACAATCCTTCTCTTTGGTCAGAATCTCCAGGGCTTCTTTTTTACTGTGCCATTTCTCTGGCATAATCTTCTGCATTCCATCTGATGCTATGCTTTAGTTCATAAGCATGTAGCTTTCACTCTCAGCATATTTTATCTATAAATTCTGATAAAGTATGCAAATCACAACTGAGTAGCTAATAGATATTTATTGAAAGATTGGGACAGCTAAATGTATAAAATAATGAAGGGAGAAGACCCAGATGTTTGAGTAGTATGAGATGCAATACACCATGGGTCAAGAGCACTCATTAGAATTGGTTTGGTAATTGATACGTTGTAAGGGTTAATTTGTACGCTGCACATTAAATGTTTCTATGTTTTTTGTTTTTTGTTTCTAGTATTTGTTCAAGCCAACAAGCTGCAGCAGCACATTTTCTCAGCCCATGGACAAGAGGACAAGATCTATGACTGCTCACAATGTCCACAGAAATTCTTTTTCCAGACTGAGCTGCAGGTAATCTCTCATAATCTGGGTTTGTTTTACCATGTGCACTTCAATTCTTGTAAGGTAACATTTGGAACAATAAACAAACCAAAGTTGGCTCTGCATCTTAGTAAACGTACACATAAAATAATGTGGTTTAAGGCTTTGTTCAAATGAGAAAAGGGGAAATGTGTCCCCTTCTACCAACATGCTTCTCTTCTGTAATGTTTGGAGGCATTCAGTTATCTCCATAGCACCAATATGCCACCAACATGCTGTCCTGGCATGATTGAGGCATCTAGCTATTTCCATAGCTCCAGCATGCCACCATGATGGTGATCTGCCTTGTTTGGTGGCACTCAGCTGTCTCTATAGCTCCCAACATACTCAAGCATGTTGGTTTGCCTGTTGGTGGCCTTCAGCTATCTTCACAGATAGCATTGGCTGCAGTTACTATGTATATACGCTGCTGCCTCAGAGTTGTATGTTATCAGTAATGACAACAGAAATAGCATGGGATGATGTGGGTAAATAAGAGTGTTTTGTTTTCTTTACCTATCCAAAACGGTAGTCCGTAGACAACATATTCGTTCATGCTTTGGACACCATGTGCTATAGTTTTATACTTTGAATTTATGAGGTAACGTGAGGTTATCCGTAGCTTAGACTGCTGCGGACAAAGCTATATGATGAGTGGAAGTGATGGCTTTATAGCCAGTCGCAGTGTTTTGTGGAGAATTTGATCAGCCAATGTGTCACAATCTGTAATAAACAGCTATTTTTTCCGTTTTATGTTTTTCCTGCAGGGCATGAACAATAATAAAGCTACTACAGTAGTTCAGTGTAGTGTTTATTTTCTTCAGTGCCTTTCTCTTATTTTATTAGTCTGTATAAGTTAGTAGAATTTTAGGACAATGCATCTTTCCACATTCGGCCTCATGTGAAAACTGAAAGGAAAAGGTCTTTGCTGCCCATATCTTCCAAGCAGATACTGATTTGTAATTTTTTCAGTAAGGTCAGAAGGAGCATGCAATAATATTGATTGTTGATATGGGCTACATGTACACTACCCTTCAATGTACGCTATACGTCTATTTGTACATCTAGATATTTGTTAATTTGAACAGTAAAATAATAGGTAGAGTTAAAATTAATTAAATTAAAGAATACGTTGGGCCTCATTCACAAAAACTGGCGTCCATTCAGGTTCCAGTTGTCATTTTTTGAGAGGACCTTAGAAAATCGAAGCAAGATCTGTGTAGTATAATTCAACAGGTTCATATAGTTACCCTGATAAGATGATTTATTAATAATGTTTCTCATGGCTACTAGAATAGAGAAACTATCTGTAAACTAGGTGTATGCCACATTATTTTATTATGTACTTATATCCTATGTAAAGTAATTTATTTTTTGCTGAAACCCCTCAATCTGCACATATGTCAGTTTATATAATAAGACCGAGGGCATTGCATAAAGGACTGTAATTACCAGCAACTTATCAGAATTCTCCTGCCATGGAATCACTGGTTTGATCAAAAGAGACACTATGATGGTTTGGTCTTTTTTAAGTAGTTTTTCTTTTAACTGTCTGTTTAAACAGTTTCTGTATTATAGTTTATTCTTTCTTTACAGCTTCAATGCAGCAATTTGACACAGGGGGAGGGGGATTATTATTATGAAATTATAGGCAGGCGGTAGGATTTGTCTTAATGAAACCTGGGACTGCATTGTCTGATTAGGGGTGTGAATAATTAATTCAGCTTGAAATATTGTTTTCTCAAATGGCTAACCATGTGAAAAGGAGGTTGGAGCTCCACCTGCTGGCTTGGATTGAAGTCTTCATAATATGCATATGCAATGTTACATGTTTACCTGGCAAAAAAATACAAATATGTACATAACCACTATATATTTCTGCTAAATCACTTGAAATATATATATAAAAGAAAAAAAACCTGCAGTTTGTTTTATTTTGTCCTGCAGTATACTACTATAAAAAAAATGTATATGTAACTAGAAAATAGATATGTTGTAATTGGTGACCCCAAATTTACCTCACATTATAAGGCTTAGGGTTAAGATTTAGAACCTTTGTAAGTATGCCCATCAGAAATGTTGTGGGCACCTTCAGTCGTCAAACTGTTTTTACTCCACCTGCACCAGTCTGTGCAGAGATTTCAATTTAGATCACATTATGGTGCCTAGTATACAGATTAGAGCAGTTTCATAGCAGAGAGCAAACTGTGCTAGCTTTCTCTAGACAAAACAGATACAAATCTTGTTTATGTAAAACAAGTATACATTATATTTTGCTGCA